GCCCCAGCTGCCACACCAACAAAATGGAGCTAGGCAGACTCACTGCACAGCATGCAAGACACCTTTGATGGTATTTGGTAAACGTGAGTCTCCCCTTCTCTGCCCGTCCCAGCAGAGGAAGGAAGTGAGAACATTTAAGTGGGCTTCTTTGCACTTCCTTTCCATAAACACAATTACCCTTTTCTTTAAAGTAGGCCTTACTGTATTGCAGTTATGTAAATGCATTGTTTTTAAATGAAACATGTAAGATATTAAGTATTTTTCTGTGAGTAATGACTTGTAAATTACATTATTTATTAACCTAAAGAAAAAAAAATTGGCTCCTTAATCAAGGGCTGTCCTCTTCAGTGCCTGCGTCTAAAGCATGGTGGTTTTTCACTGGTCTGTTCTCACGTAGGCATCTGTGCCAACATCTGCAGTGGTGACTGGGATTGTGATCCAGGACAGCACTGCATCAGCAACGGGTGTGGTTATGATTGTGTCTCAGACTAAATACAGGTAAAAACATCAGGCCCTGCCTGCTTCCTCAAACTTCGTCCAAGCTAGGCAGGCTGTGTACTTACCCCTGATGGGACTCTCCAGAAATGGGTGGGACAGAAGCTTGTTTCTCTGTGGCCTTTCCCTTTCCAACTACCCATCTCAAGAAAAAGAAGCATCTATCACAGGATGATGGTTTCCAAACCTTTAAAATAATTTCATTACTCAGCATATCCTGGAGAGAAATTCGACTATTTGAGCAAATAGAAGATGTAAATCACTCACAATTCTCCATCCCCAAATGGTATCTGCTTAACATTTTGGTGCATGTTTTACACATACACATACATAAATACATAATATATACATTAAAATGAGATAATCTTGTAGCTATTTTGATTTCTTGATTACTTCACTTAGAAGTAACTAATGAGCAACTTTTAATATCAACACTGATGCTACTATACCATCATCTTTAATAGTTTTATGGAAGTCCACCCATGCTCATATATTTGGGAACCTCCATTAATATAAGTTTCATGTATTTGTTATTTTTTTATATTATTAATATAGCTGTAATGAATACTAAATTGGTGTACATGCCCCCCTTATCTTCCCTGGGATAAATTTAAAGAGGTATAATTGATGACCAAAGCGTAAGGCTCATTTTAAGCTTTTGGTACACATTTTCATGTTGACCTATGTGAACCCCTTTTCTGTAAAAATATGTCAGGGTCCTCACATGATAATTTCTTTATTTTCAGAAGCCACTAAGTGAAACACAAAAAGCATAAGTAGGAGCTACTGTGGTTCAGTTTTGGTTATAAATTAAGTGGTATTAAACCAACAGAACCAATATATACATTTAAAATAACCCATTTGTATTGAGAACATATTGTTTGTCCTATCCACCCACAATTCTTGGGATGCTTTCAGCTTTGCTAGCTCCTTGCAGATGCTTATTGATTCCGAAAACTGGGAACTGTCACTTCTCAACTGCATTCTGTAGGTCCAGAGCCCCAGAACAGCAGGTCTCATGCACAACATCTGTGTCCATTTCTCTGCTGAGGAATTGTCTTAAGATCATCTTTCTCTAATAATAATTGTTCATCCCTCCCTAGAGTTCCTAGCTTCAAGATGTGACTGGAGATCCTGCCCAGGAAGACAGATGAAAATGGTGGCCTGTGTATGGAGATTACAAGGGATGTGGTGGGGAAGTAAAAAGAGTTGGGTCTTTTAATAAATCATCATTGTTAAAAGTACCCACACTATTAGTTATTTGGTGGGGAGTGATGTGGAGAAGGAAATGGGGGAGAGAGACACTCATTGAGCACTTGCTATGCAACGAGGACTGTGATATATTTTCCACAAGCGTCATCTAATTTATCTTTACAATAACCTTGAGACTATGTATATTATCACAATCATTTTACATATGAGGTTTGGAAAAATAAAATAATTTGCTTAGTGGTGTAGCAAATAAGTGTCAGGGCCTTTGATCCCACATCAAACTCCAAGACCTTATGCATTATAGCATAATAGCTGGAAGCTCCAGCTCTGAATTTCAAACCGAGGCCCTCTACACAATGGTATGAGCTTCAGTAAGTGTCCTAACCTTTCTGTGCTTCTGTTTCCTCATCTGTACAACAGTACATACTTCATAGAGCTGCAAGGGTAAAATATGTTAGTTCATGTAATGTGCTTGGCATAGAACCTGATGCAGAAAACATTCATTGAATGTCAACTACAATTATTATTATTATTATTATTATTATTATCATTATTATTATTATTATTAATTAGATGGACTGATGACCCTTAGTCTTAATTCTTGAAGACTCCAGATCAGAATCTAAGGCCTAACCTCCTTCCTATCCTCTCCTAGTTCAGCTCAATACTGAAAGCCAGGCTGTCTCTTCTGATTTTTCCCATTGCAAAATGTGGGAGGTAATAGACTATAATTTATTGTCTATGTTCTTCAGATTGCTAACTTAAGATCCAACCAGCCGGGCAGTAGTGTGATTTCAGCTGATTTACTGCCTGTATGGATGCTGACAAACCAAACTCCTTATAACTGCTCTCTTTAAACTAGTTAAATTTTAAAAGGGGAAAATTATAACATCTACTTCATTTGGAAGCTAAGATTTATAAATTTTACAATTTACAAAGCATTTTCACAAACATCCCTTTGACTTTCACATTAACTAACAGATGGCAAGTAGGGGGCTCTGAATAAAAATAGTAAATTCATTCATTCTGTCAACACATATTGTGGGGTGCTTGCCATGTCCCAGGTGCTGTGTTAGCACTGGGGCTACAACAGTGAGCCAGACAGAGAGGGTCTGTGCCTTCATGCAGCTCACATTCTAGAGGGAAAAAAAGATAATAAACAAGTAAAGAAAGAAGGTAACTACACATTATGGTAAATGTTGTGAAGGAAATAAATAAGGACACATATGATGTGAATTAGAATTGGGGGTGGGTGAGTAAAGTAAAGCCTACTTTAGTAAGGATGATCCAGATTGCTAAGGTGATAAAAATGAAGTCTTGACAGGGTTCCAAAACATCAAAGAAATTCCAGGGTAAGGCTCCAGATCACCTTGTGCAGAATTTATAAAAGGGAATGGCTGCAAAGTGGCTTAGCATCCCTTAATCTCCCTCAGTCACTTTAAGATTATAAAAATATTGAGACTGAGGATGTGTGAGATTTTTGTGGGAGTGCTTTTGGCAAGTTGTCAGTTTCCACGGTTTGAAGGTTACCATCTACCACAAGCTGATGCAGAGGCCCTTCAAGAACTTTTATGTACTTCTTTTAGTTCATGATCACTACAAGGTAGGAATGTTCATTTCCATGGAGATACCCCACTGCCACCAGCATGGGTATGTTCCATTAGAATTCAATAGATTGGTATTGGTCTATTTTATATCTGGGCTATTTGGTGTTGAATAAAACTATATGAAGGTCATCCATATTGCAACCTAAGATGAGCCACACCAAACCCAGATTCTTTCCACAGCCTCTTCTACAACACCTCCACTATAGTGATGATCAGGTCTCACACATCCTTCTAGGCCAGTGTGTCAGACACAAATACTTTTGGACTTACACTCTTATTGTGATCATCGCTACAGCAACCAGTTTATTTTAGGCATCTACTCGCTTTGCACAAGGTACCTTGTCAGAGCCTTGCCTTGGACTTGTACCCTAGTACACCACACCTCTCGTTTCTGCCTCAAGGCTTCTTTGACTATGCAACAAGAGTCTCCTGAAGGAACCACCACACACTGACTCATGCTTAACGCAGAAGCACTGGAGAATTAAAGCTTGGTGGGGCACTGCTTGACAATAGGGGTCAAAGTCTTGACAGATATACGTTTCCGCTTCCATTTCCCAGGAGTGATGTTCTGAGAACGTTCTATAAGACTTCTCAGAAAGTCTTGAGTATTGAGCACTCACTTACCCCCTGCAATGGCAAATTCAAATGCATGCAATTGTATTGATTTTCCTTTCTTCCCATGCACTCCTGAATAAGTCACTCACATAACCTCCTCTGAGGCTCTGCTTTAGGAGAATTCAAACTAAAACATTAGTGACTATGTCTCAGCTCCCAATCTTCTCTGAGCAAGTACTTGAATATCACACACACACACATAACATACATCCCCCAAATAAGCTGTAATAATACAAGCATTAATGAAATCTACATTCAAACAAAAAATGTGTTTCTCCCCAAAGAAACACAAAGTCTTCAGAGAACTAGCCCTTCTAAAGCATAACCCCAATTATCATTGCTGAACGGAGAGGTGTTTTATTCTCAGGATAAAACATGTACATTCAGGTGACTTCAGTGTTTTCCTAAAAGCCATGGATGAGAATTTGCCTTGACCTCTTGGGTGACAAAACTTTTCACAGCTTTTAAAATGTCTATTTTCTTCTCTAGCTTCTTGCTTTTTAAGGTTCCAGGAAATCTTGGGGTGTCCAATCACAACCAGGTCACTCTCTGGTAGGTTGTATTTTATACGGTTCAGTTTGCACTCCCAAACTACTTTTCTTGCGTGGTAAGGTGTCTCAAGACCTTCAGGAGGCTTCACAGACAGCTGCAAGGAATGCTAGGAATACCTTTATTCAGGGTGGTTTTGTACCTGGAAAAAAAAAAGTAGGGCTCTAATAAGACGTGAGAATACAGGGACATCGTAGATCTAGCAGTTTCTGTCACTGTCACTGCCACTCACAATGGCCCGCTCCAGCTCCAGCGTGAATCTGTTAACACTACAACTTAACAGGAATGTCAGCCCTGCCCAAGAAAAAACTGGGAGAGCGAGTCTCCACTTTTCAATCAGGACTCAAGGGCAAGTGGGTGGCGAAAACGTCTCTAAGCTAATTTCTGATAAGTATTTCTAGGGCGTAAGTCTCCCGAAGGACGCCAAGGTTTTGGAACGCGACCAGCATCAGGCTTTCGTTAAAAAGAAGCATTTCCGGGGCTGGGCTGCGGGCCGGGGGATGCCCCGGAAGTACAACCTTGGTGTCCTACGTAGGAAAGATGGCGGCGGTGCAGGTCGCTGGCTGTCTACCCGGCAGGCCGCCGCCGGATCCGCCGCCTGAGCAGAATAATGGGTTCCGCCGCTTGTCCGCCAGGCTCTGCGCCCTGCGCCCGGATGGCAGCAGCTCCGCCCGCACCGAGATCCACCTGCTCTTCGACCAGCTCATCTCCGAGAACTACAGCGAGGGCGGCGGCGTGGCCCCGGAGGTAGGCGGCGCGCCGAGTCGGGAGGAGCCTGGCAGCGCCTGTTGGCACCGGCCCCACCCTTCGGAGACCCTAGCGGGTAACTCCGTCTGTCTAACCCGCCCTTCCCACGCCCGCTTCACCTTACTTAGTTCCAGGTGCGTTTGCTTCCTCCGACCGTGGCACATTCTCTGCCCCCCCTTTATCCGGAAGTCCCTGCAGTGTTGGCAAAGTCCCATCTTTTTAAACCCTGCTTGATGACTTCTGCTCTGATAACACTGCAGGTGGCTTCTCTGGTACCACCTTCCCGTTCCCCAGCTCACTATCTGCATCCAAAACACTTTGTATCTAAAATTCACTACTATTTATTGAGTACATGGTGCCCAGGCCACGTACTGTACTTCAGCGTGCACGGGTCCAGGAATCTTAGAATATGGGTATTAGTAGGTCTGTTTCACTGATAAAGATACTGAGGCTTATAAAGATCCAATGTCATAATAACGGCAAAAGGCAGAGCTAGAATTGGGAATTGGAACCTAATTCTGTCGCAAAGGCCCTGCCATTTTCTGCACCTACATGCTGGCTCCCCCCATCCTTTCTCTTTACAAGTACTTTGAGCGGTACTATTCATACACAGAAGGCCTTGAATACTACTTGCTGAATTCCTTTAGCTCTTGATCCAGCCATGTCACTGCCTTCTCGTCCTCACAGGCACTTCAAACTTGACAGTTCCTAAAAATGGGTGCATTATTTCTGTACACACATTCCATCTCCAACCTGTCCCACCCCACAACACACACAAACGTGCAGTCCACCAAGTCACATAGACACTAGCTCTTCCCCTTTCCTTCCTCCCAGATCTTATCCAGTCCAGAATCCTCAGGTTTTCTCTTGTAAGTATTCTTCAGTCCATCCCTTCTCTGTTCCTATTGCTAATGCCTCAGGCAAGATAACTCTTTCCTGGACGATTCCACTCGTCTCCTCCAACTTCTCTCCTGCTTCCAGTACAGCCCTTCTCCAAACCGTTCTTTGTTCTGCTAGAGTGGTCTTTTCTTTAGCGGGGGAAAAAAAAAATCTGGTAAGAAAAGTGAAACTTTGATTTGAGATTTTCAGTACATACTGGTAAATGGTCAAAGCAAGTCAACGTACAGAAAAAGTCATACAGTATGAGACCAATATAAGGTGGGGAGGTTTTAAAACTATGTATGTATGTTTATACATGCAAAGAGTTCACAACAATGTATGGAAGAGTTTACAACATAACGGTAGTTATGTCACTAGAGGGCATAGTGGAATTAAGGGAGTAGTCCAGGACTTTTTATTTGTATAATTTGATACTTTTGCACCAAAAATATGTTCCTTTCCAGTCAGTCCTCCTTTTGTGCCTTGTGTGCAGTCATTTAAAATTTGCCGTTCCTCCTGCTGGTATTTCATAGGTCTTTGCACACTCCATTTCCTTTGCTGGCAGTATCTTCCAGTGCCTTGTGTGCCTGGGAGATTTTTACTTATCCTTCACATGATTCCAGATTCTGCCTAAAAATCACCTCCACAAGACCACTCTGAATATAACATACCCACAGACTATGCGCTTAATTCTTGCAGCACTTAATTCACTTTAATTATGTGTACTTCTGTCTCCCTCACTAGACTAGGAGTTCAGGAATATGTTCTCCTTTGGAGCCCAAAGACCTAGTAGCACACTAGGTGCTCAGTCTTTTAATTCAATAAACATCAATGGATGAATGAATAGCGTGATAGTGCAAATAGGTTCCTCTCTTTTTTTTTAGAATTCTCTAATTTTACATTAAATTCATACAAGTGTCATTTCTGATTTTCCAAGTGACATTGAAAATCACATTTGCTTTTGGTATTTTTAACTTCAGTGTGTGCTTTTTTATTCTGGGGGCCTTGTTTGGTTGTTTAATTGTACTGTCTACATTAGTAAGAGACACTGGAGTCTTTAGCTCCACAAAAACTGTATTGATTCTTTTTTACCACGTCCTGTTTTTGTGCTGTCATTTCATTTTTTTCCTACTTACTGTTTCAAATTTCATCTTCTTGAGTGTGGACGCTCATGTTTATTTTGTTTATTGTGTTTGGCAGTGGAGAGGGGGTGTCTTCACTTGACTGACAGGCATATTTTCATTGTTTTTTTTTTTGGTAGGATGTCAGCACTCTTCTTGTCCATGCTTGCCGACTGGTGCCTCTTAATCAGAATCATCTTGTCAGCAAAGTGTCTCAGCTTATCCACCATTTACTCAACAGATTGCAGGTAATCATGTATATAACTTTAGAATTCAGATCATGAATTTTGAGAATAAGTACCTTTGAACACTGCATCTGTGGAAGGTGTAATAGGCCAGTCTTTTGAGAAGCTATAGAAAAAGCAAATACTTTACCATGAATGACATTAAAACATATATGTCTGCCGAAAACATATTCTGCATTATCTAGAAGTTTGTTCTTTAGAGGTATTCCTTTCTGTTTGTTCAAGAAAGCAGTATCCTTCATGCCCCCAGGTCTTATAATTTTCCTGGAATTTGATTTGACCAAACAAGATATATCTAAGAATAAATTGAAATAATTCCCTTACCCCTTTCCTACCATTATTTTTCCCCTTTCCCAAAGCTACCATTTTTGGGGTCTACTTTTGATCTTCATAAAACTAAGAAGTAGCTTGGGAACAAGGAGACACTTATTTAGTATAAAAAGACCCCTGTTATTTATATCAATGTCTGTACTATAGCTCTCCTCTGACAAGAACCTTTTCCAATTTATTAAATAAATCTAGTATCTTTTTAAGAACAGTTCAAAAATTGAGGCTGTTACCATAAAGTACCACATGAGTATGTGAATGTAATTAGCAAAACATCAATCAACATTGGGCAGTCGAGGATGTTTTTGGCTACAAGAAACAGAAAAGACAACTTAAAATAGCTAAAAAAAAAAAAAAATTATCTCATGTCACAAGCCCCAAGGAGGGCAGCTCTAGCGGAACTTAATAATAAGAGGCCTACTGGCATCTTTCCATTCTGCTATCCTCAGTGTATGGATTCTCCTCAGCTAACATCTCTCACAGTCATAAGATAGCTGCCTCAATTTAGGCATCCCATGCAAAGTAAATCAACACCCAGCAGAAGCAAAAGAACTATTTGCTTTGTGTCTCTTTTATTTAAGAATGGGGAAACTTGTCCCACAGACCCTGCAGTGGGCCTTCCCTGGTGCCTGGCTAGGGAGACCTTGGTCATGTAAGAACTCCTCTCTACTAGTCTTATCAGGGGAATGTTATTAGCATGAGTGGCTTAAACCAGGGGTTTCAACTTTGCACATTAGAATCACTTGGAGGGCTTAAGCTCCCCAGATGATTCCAGTGCACAGCTTAACCCTTATGTCAGGGGTTTTCCACCTTTGCAGTATTAATAGTTTGGGTGGGAGCTTGTTGTGGGGCTGTCCTGTGCATTTCAGGATCTTCAGCAGAATTTTTGGCCTTTATCCACCAGATGCCTGTAGCATGTCTCCAGTTGCGACAATCAAAAATGTCCACAGATACTGCCAACTGTATCCTGGGGAAAACGGTGGTCCCTAGTAGAGAACCACCATCTTAAACTAATTAGGATTTATTATCAGGTCTCATGTTGGAGAGGTGGGCAACCAAATAAAATCAGTACTCTGCCAGCAAGGGAAGAGATGACGAATGCTGGTAGGTAACCAGCAATGTCTGCTGCATGTGACTTCTAAATGAAATTAGTCTAGTTTCAAGTTTAGAATTTTGTAAACTGATGTAGTGGCTTCTGAGTACCTTCTGAATATATACTCAGGTATATCATTCTTGTAGCACTGGCAATTGAAAAAGTTCCTGATCACTTATGGCACCTACAGCCCCTAACCAGTTTTCTAACATTTGATGACAGTTTATCTCAGTTGACCATTAATTCATACTTGGATTAGCCTACTGTGTCCCCACGAGATTATGGACTACTTGAAGACAGGGATATGCCAGCTTTTCCTGCTATATTCTCCACTTCATGGTAGACACATAGTAGTATTTATAGTAGCATTTAGCAGACATATTTATTCACAATTATTGAGTATTTACTGTGTATAAGGCAATTTAGTTGAAATAAGAAATAAGGATTGAGTCCTACATATCTGTGGATTTACAGCTGCCAGTGTCTGGTAGTTCAAGGAAAAGTTACAAGGACTGCCAGGTTCTACTTAGAGTGGAGGGAGTAAAGGGGAAGAAGGGAGCAAGGCCTTGGGCAAGGAGGAGGCTGTTTTGATTGAACTTTGAAGGTCATTATAGCCTATCTTTTTGACAGACAAAAAAATGGACAAATGCACTCTCTCCCTTACACAGCTTGATTCAGATGAGCATACGCGTCTGAAAAGGATAAAAATATTGTTTTAGAAGTAAGATCTTAAATATTTTTTCCTCTATTGAAAGGTGATTGTTGATGAACAAAACCTGGATTTTCTGTTGGCATATACTATTTCCGCTATTCAGCGGTGCAGTTCTTGGACACACATGGAAATTCTTCAAGCCCTTGCAGCTCTGGTTTATGGCAATGGCTCAAAATGTCAAAAGGTAGTTTTTCTTTCCTTTGTTCTGTCTTTGCTTTGAAAGACTCTGAACCAACAGGTTTTGTCCTGCCATTAATTAGATGTGTAACCTTGAGCAACTCTTACCCTCTCTGAGCCTGGTTTCCTCTAATGTAAAATAGTTCCTCTGAAGATAAAGTGAGGTAATGCTTGTGAAATGCTTGGCACTTGGTAAATACTAACCTTATTGCTATCATTACCCTTCAGCATCAGTGAAGATGAGGGAGCTTCAGCAACTACCTAGGCTGGGAATGATGATGCTTACTGTTGGTTTTTGGCATCTTTGCCTATCTGAAAGATTTACCTAGTAGCTAGTCTTTTTGTACTTAACTGCCATTTAGTTAAAAAAAAGAAATCTGTCTCTAAGAGCAATATTTTCCTGGAACCTTTCAATCAACATTGCTGTAATTTTGTTTTAGTACCTCCCAGACTTGCTAGGCAAGAGTGGACTCTTGATGAAGTTGAGTGACTTGGCTCAGTCTGACCCTGAAGTTAGGAGAGCTGCAATACATTGTATGGCAAACCTGTGTCTCAGGTATGTGGATCCAGTCCAATTTCCCAGTTGTAATAAGACAGGGCCTCTTCTGGGCCCTTCGTTGGTGGTTCAGCGTGTCTGAAGCTAGAGCCAACTTAGAAAAATAGATTACTCTGCATTTTCCATGTTCTTTGCTAATAATATTGTCTTATGTGGCTTATCTTTAATTTTACTATTGCTTATAAAGAAAGCTTAGAAGGAAGTGAAGGAAAAAATAGACTAGGACCTTATCCCTAAAGTATGGTAAAAGTGATATATGGGCAGTATGTCAAGTTTTCTTTTCTACTTGCATAGATTCTAACTATATATATTAAGTGTTCTAGAAGGATCTTTTCAAATAAGTTTAAGCTATCATGAGATTTGTCTGTCAAAGCCAATTTCTTCTAAGAAAATGGAATCAATCCCAGCTGCCCAGTCTAGATTCATGGAACAGAAAATGAGCAGTGCAGACTTGAACAGATGTAATGTTGTCCAGTTGCTAGGGTTGCTATGCAATTCTAGCTTGACAGGACCTGTCCTGCATTCTTTCCCTCTAGGAGCTCAAAAGCAGAACTAAAAAGGATTTCTCTTTCTCCATACTTCTTTCACTGTAAATTTCTGTAACTTTTTCCTGTGGAAACCATTCTTCCTTCCTTCTTTTCACTCCAGCCTTGTGCCTGTCCCACAGCAGTAATTAATTAACTGAAATGCACATACCTCCAGAATACACTTTCATTCAAGGGTATATTCCAACTCCATTATAGTCTGCATTACTGCTATTTTTAATTCTTGTTCTTTTGCAAACCCTATTTCAAAGGAGACTGAGTTTGAGTTGCTCTCTCTGTGTGTTTTAGTGTGCCAGGTCAGCCGTACTTGGAGGAGCCCTACCAAAATATCTGCTTCCAAGCTTTCTTGACCATGTTACAGTCTCCAAAATCATCTGATATGGATGATATCACATTCTGTATGGTAGGTGAACTCCCACTAACCTTGTGGATATTACAGATGTGTCTGGAAGCAGCAATAGAACAGAAGCTGAGACTGAACAGTTTAATTTGGTTGCTGCATTAGTTTTTCCTAGAGATACAGGCATAAGTGGAATGTTTATAATCAAAAAAGACTGAACTTACATCTTTCATGTTTAAATTATAAGAAACTGTTTTTGTTTATTTTGCTCTTAGTTTTGTTTTGCAGTTCGAGGTTTTTAAAGAAACTGTTTTCCCCCCTCCTGACTATAAAAGCAATACAGTTACAGACTAGTGACTGTCTTTTAGATGGAAGAGAATGGAGTGGTTTTCAACAATATCTGCAACATTTTGTATCTTAAAAAATCTGATGAAAATATGATAAGTTGTTAGCATGTTTTAAATTCAGAGTGACACATTTCAAAGATTACAGATGGTGAAAGTTTTTCATGGTCTCCTGCTCAGATATAACCCTGGCTATTTGTTCTACATATCCCAGATTTTTTAAATATATTGATGAGCATATTTATAATTTTTAAATGGTATTGTATTAAACAAGCTGTTTCACAACTTTCTCTTCTTTTAAAACTTAACATCTCTTGGACATCTTTTCAGTACCTATTAATGTACCTTATGCTTCCTAACTACTGTAGTTAAGAGATCTGGGCAAGTTCCTTAACTTCCTGAGCCTCTGTATTCCTCATCTCTGAAATGCAACAACTGACATAACTATTCTTATGGTGGTCTTGTGAGGAGTATATGAAATAAAGCATTTAAAGTGCTTGGCAAAGCACTTCCTGTTATTGTTGAGTTTCACACATAGCAGTTAGCTTTTTATATAATTGCAATAATTAATGGAAATCCAATTTTTTTCAATGTTTCCACTATTTCAAACAAAGCTACAGTTTACATCTTTTCCAGGTGGGGAGTATTTTCTTAAGGACAAAATTCTAGAAATGAGATTACTGAGTCAAAAGAATCAATATTGATCAAAATTTCTCTCCAGAAACCTGCTCCCAGATACATTCCTTTGCCTTTAAGAGCTGCTGAAGTTACTATAGATATTCCCCTCTTCTGATCTCTGCCACCACTCTTTTTCATTCCTGCTGCATACTTTCCATTAAACATCTCGTTTTTCTTGTTCTTTATTTGTATGTATTGATTATAAACATGTATCGTATGACCACTCTTATTCACTAAGAGCACTATTCTAGAAAAGAATAAGTTAATCAGATCTCTAGATCTTCATCTCTGCTTTTTTTTTTCCTGTCTAAAGATTTTTCATCACCTAAAGACTTTTTCTCCTCCATCCTATGTGATGCTGGAAAGTTGATCACTGAACAGCCAAATTTTACTTACTTTTTAACTTGGTCTCCTTTTTCCCATAGTTGTTACAAAATGCATTAAAAGGTATACAGTCTCTTCTAAATGGTGGGAAGATGAAACTGACACAGACTGATGAACTTGGAGCTCTTCTAGCTGTGCTGAAGGTAAGGCATTTCCTCTTTAAACTACAAGTCCTCATTATAGTGTCTTTCCTACTTAAACCCTAAGCATAAGAACTACTTTATACTGTCAACCCTAGCCTTAGGGCATTGTATTTCCAGAGAGAAGAATAAATTGTTCATATTCAATCATACTTAAAATTAAGACCGGGAAATAATTGCTCTGAAAAGAAAAGTAAATATATCAAAATTCTAAAATTTTACATGTGAATCTAAACTTAAGAAGGGAATAGGTTATGAGGTATTGTCTGCAAGTAATTTAATTTTAGATTTTCTTGAACTTATTTGTTCTTAAAAGAAGAACCAGGGCTTCTCCTGGGCTCTTGCCCCCTGGGGGTAGGCAGGCCAACCAAGACATATGTCTGTAGGCTGCCATCCTTTGATTTCTGAGCCTGCAGTCAGTGAGAAAGTCAGGTCAGCCTTCCTGGGGACACAGATGTCTTCAGTTCAGCCAGGAAATAATAAGAAGCTTTGTGTTAGCCTCAGATCAAAGTCATGTATAACTTAACTTTATCAGGACTAAAATTTTAATTCTTTCCCTCTGCCATCTCCCCTATTCCCAAAGAGATAGCTAGATGCAGACATGGATAAGCTAAATAAAAATGATGTTTGGTAAAAAATATATAGATAGATAGATATAGGTGAAATAATTGGATAGCACAATTGGATACATTTTAAAAATTAATAAAATAATAAGTAAATAAATAAACCAAAATCAAACCTAACCTGATGTGGCCAAACTAGATCCATCTGGAGGCTGGATGAGATTAAACTCTTCTGTAACCTTAAACCTTCAGTGACTTAGAAAATCTATTTTTCTGTCCTATTTTAATTTCCTTAATAAGCTCCTAAACATTGTCTGTTCCTCTGTGTGATTCTAGAACATGGTGAATAATTCTGTTATATGATTTGTGTTTCCTTAATCACAATTATTAGAAATCCATGTTTCATGGACTCCCTGGACTGAACTTAGAGATGCCTATGGTGTTATACCCCACTCCACTTCCTCAGTATGATGGGCGACCACCCATCCAACCACAGCCATCAGAATCCAGTGCTTCTCGGCCAACTGTGGTACATTTATATCTATTTAGATTTTAGTTGTCGATTGCTTTTAATTGCTTGCTGTGTGTTTTCTATGATTTGCATTACTGTTGTGCCAAAGTCTTACCTTGAATTTGATTTCAATTTAAAGTTTTTAGCACAGCACATTTAAATTCATCAGACTGCTGAAAATACAAGTTAGAGCATCATATACTTCTAAGAGGTCTAGGCAATTTAACAGCTATAAAAATAGGCATTCACTTTATACCCAAAGTCAAGTATCCTTATCCCCTAAATACTCAAGACCACAGATCAACAAACTTATCCTGTAAAAGTCTAGCTGGTAGGTGTCATTAGTTTTCTTTTGCAACTGCCAAATTTCCCACCCTTTCCAGGTAGCTGCCATCTCCCTCATGTGCTGTTGGAGAACTGAGAGCATACAGATATATGGCCAAGGTATTGCATCTGGAAATGTAATAATGCCTGATAAAAATGCTTATAATTAGAATCCTTTCACTCATTCATTTATTCAACATTTACTGAACATCTGCTATATCCCAGACATTGTGCTAAGCATTAAGCATATAGACTGTGTTTTTAGGAATTTGGGGGAGAAGGCGAAAATATATAAATAAACTACTATATTGCAATATTTTGATTTTTTTAAATCAGAGTATTCACAGGGTACCTGGGAATGCATTCAGGGTACCCAGTCCATATAGAGGAGTAGGAGAAGGCTTTTTAAAAATGTGTTAACTAAAGTAGATCAAGAATGAGTAGTAGAACATTTTCATGTGTCTATTGGCCATTTGTATGTCTTTGGAACAATGTCTATTCAGTTTCTCTGCCATTTTTTAATTGGATTATTTGGTATCTTTTGGTATTGAACTGTATGAGTTCTTTATATATTTTGGATATTAACTGCTTATTTGATATATCATTTGCAAATATATTCTCTATTCATTAGTTTGCCTTTTTGTTTTGTTGATGATTTCTTTTGCTGTGCAGATATAGTCTAGATTTAGTTTGATCTAGTCCCACTTGTTTGGTTTTGCTTTTGTTTCCCTTGCCTAGGGAGACATACAAAAAAATTGCTAAGGCCAATGTTCAAGAGTTTACTGCCTATGTTTTCTTTTAAGAGTTAGGTGTCAGATCTTAGGATTAGGTCTTTAATCCATTTCAAGTATATTTTTGTATATTGTGTAAGAAAGTGATCCAGTTTCTTTCTTTTCCATATAGCTCTCTGGTTTTCACAACACCATTTATTGAAGAGACTTCTTCCCATTGTATATTCTCGACTCCCTTGTTGTAGATAATTTACCATGAAAGCATGGGTGGGAAATGCATATCAAAACCATAATGAGATATTACCTCATACCAATCAAAACAAAGGACAAGAAATAACAAATGTTGTCAAGTATGTGGAGAAAAGGGAACTCTTGTGCACTGTTGGTAGGAATGTAAACTGGTGCAGCCACTATGGAAAACAGTAGGATTTTCAATCAAAAAATTAAAAACAGAAATACACAATCTAGTAATTCCACTTCTGGGTATTTGCGCAAGAGAGCAAAAACACTGATTCAAAAAAATATATGCACCTGTGTTTGTTGCAACGTTATTTACAGTTGTCAGGATATGGAAACACCTAAATGGCCATCAATAGATGAATGGAAAAAGATACAGTATGTATATACACACACAATGTAATAATATTCAGCCACAAGAAAAGAATGAATGAAATATTGCCATTTATGACAACATAAATGGATCCTAGAGGGTATTATGCTAGGTTAAATAAGTCAGATAAAGAGAATTATGATTTCACTTATATGTGGAATCTAAAAAACAAACAAACAAATAAACAAATGAAATACCCCAGAAATAGACTAATAAATACAGAGAACAAATTGGTGTTGCCAGAGGGGAGAGGGGTTAGGGGGTAGGTGAAATAGGTGAAGGGGATCAAGAGGTACAGACTTCCAATTATAAAATAAATAAGCCACAGGGATGAAAAGTACAGCATAGAGAGTATAGCCAATAATATTGTATTAAGTTTGTGTGGTGACAGATGGTAACTACATTTATTGTGGTGAGACTTTCATAATGCATATAAATGCCACATCACTATATTGTGCACCTGAAACTAATTAATATTGTGTCAACTATACTAAAATTAAAAAAGAATAAAAAAGAGTGAATAGTAGCACAGAGAATGTTTCACTCAGAAGTGCCTAAGCACAGAGAATAAGAGTGTTTGCAGCCCACTTGTTAACTGGTAGGGCTAGAATGTCCAGTGCGGGAAGGAGGAGGGTGGGGCAAGTATGTAGCAGAGGCCAGATCGTAAGGGTCTTATATAGTATGCTAAGGAGTTTGGGTTTTTATCTTATAGGTTGTGGAGATGAAGAGTCTTGTATAAGGGAGTGATGTGATAGGATTTGCATTTTTAGAAAACTCACTGAGGTAGTAAGTAAAAGGGAATAAAGTCTGGAGCCACCTTAATAATTCCAGGTAGAAGTGGTAAGGACCTTCCCTCAAGGTCAAGGACTTCGGAAGTGTGAAGGAAGGCACCGATTCTAAAGATACTGGGATGTCAGAACGAAAAAAGTAGGAGAAAAGGAAGAAACTGGTTTTTACTTAATATCTGTATCTATAAAGCCCAGTGCCCTAAAACATGCATAGTATGTAATGGATTAACATCTCTCCTATGCATCTAGAGTGGTGCTAGCTATATATCTTAATTAGGAGAACTGAGAAAATAAGTCAGTCAAGTCATTTTCTATAGACAAATTCTCTTGTGGGACCCCACTGGAGAAGGCTAAATGCTTTCATAACTGTGCAAGGAAGGTGGCATTAGCCTTATACTTATAGATGAGGAAGGTCAAGCTCAGAGAAGCTAAATGATTTTCCCAGGGTCACAGGGTAAAATTTAAACCCAAGTCACAGTTTTGACTGTCCCCTGTATCTCATACCTTGTTTCTTAAAGTCCAGTAGGATGTGTGTAAGCCCTTACTTAGCATTGTGCCTGACACATCAAGTATTCAGTAAGTGACACATTTTTGTCTTCTCCTCTTTTCTTTTTTCTTCAAACTTTACATGTTGGGGACATATTTAGTAATTATCAAATGAGAAGGTACCAATAGTTACCATAATATGTTTTCATTTGCTCCTAAAATAAGAATAAAAAGAAAAAATCAAAAGTAAAATCAAAGAAAACCCAGCAAGGGGAGGAGGATGAGGAGGAATCCAGTGGTGAAAGAGAAGTAGCCCTGGCCCCTGGCTTGGGCAGAGTGCAGCTCCAGGAAGGGACCGCTCACCGTTCCTCCTCCCCGGGTGTCCGGAGTTTGCCAGCAGATGGAAGTGGAGCTGCAGGAAAAGACCGCATCTCCTCAGCCTTCAGTTCTTCGGGTTGGAAGAGGGTCAGCAGTAGTGAGTCAGACTATTCTGATGCTGAAGGAGGCATGCAGAGTAAAATGAGGTAGTAGTATTTTGTTGTATTTTTATTCCTTATATTCTAAGGTGCATTTAAGTTTACAACTTTGCCAAAAAACGTGAGTGCTGCATATGACTTAACTTGAAGATTCTCATTTATGTGGGCCTTAGTATTACTTTGCATTTTGCCTTGTTCTCTCGATCTGCCTTTTACATGTTCCTCAGCCTGGAATATTCTTTCACTTTCTTTGCCTTTTTGCTGTGTTAACCACTGCTCATCTTTCATTTGAGCCCAGCTGTCATGTCCTCTCAAGAAGCCCTTTCTGACCCCTCCCCTGCCAGTTATGGCTTAGGCTCCTCCTGTGTCACCCTTTGACTTATCTCTGCCCTAGTGTTGATCATAATGTGTTACAGGTATCTCTTTAACTGTCAGTCCCTGCCATTAATAGCTTGGCACAGGCAGGAGCTTATTTATGTCTGCCAGCCTCAGCACAGTGCCTGGCACATGCATAAGAACTCTCAGTACATGCCTGTTGGGTGAATGGATACTCTGCAGTGTTCCAGATCTAACACTACTTTCCTCACATCAAACTGTCACTCTTTTTCTCTGCACGGTTGTGTTTTATGTTGGTAACTTTATTAAATTATTATATGACTAAATTGCTTCAACATGTTTTGATTATATTTTGAGAACTAATTTTTTAATATAATACTGGCATTTTTATTTTAGGGCCTACTCAGAATGTTGAAATTCTTAATACATCATTTGTGTTCTCTAGAATAAATAGCATTTCACATTTGTATTTTTTTAGAACTATTAAAAGATCTTTTTCTTCCTTTTCTTGGGTATTAAAGGTCTTACCAAGCCAAAGTTCGCCAAGGAGCATTAGCTTGTTTTCTTTCTACTATAAAATCAATAGAAAAAAAAGTTCTTTATGGCTACTGGTCAGCTTTTGTTCCTGATACCCCTGAGCTTGGAAGCCCACAGTCTGTGTCCTTGATGACTCTTACATTAAAAGATCCTTCTCCAAAGGTAAGAGCATTTATGCTATGAAGCATTATACTACAAAGGAAAACTTTTTAGGTCTTTGTTGTATTTTTCTGCTTTAGCTGATCTTACCTGAACACAGCTCTTACTAATACCCATGTTCTCACTTAAGAACCACTGGAAATAGGCAGGAGGATAGGAAATGGGCTTATGTGACTAACAAGTTGAGAGAGCACATGCTGGGGTGCCTCCTGCCCCAGGGCTTGTTCGAAGCCTGAGCATACTGAGTTACAACTTCAGTGTCCCCTTGAGGCCACACTGAAGCAGCTGTGCTTCTTTCCTTGTGATGATAACTCTGATCGCCATGGTATTTATAATAGGAAAAGTAGCTTAAACACTCAATGGAATATCATCGTACATAATGGTTATGTAGGATGTATAAGACTTAGGAAAATGCTTATAGTGAGAAAACATAAAAAGACTTTTAGATGACCTTTCAAAGGCTTCTACAGGGTGAAGAAAAACCTGCTAGACTGAACTGCACAGAAAAATGCCTTGTAGGGTATTTCAGATACTCAGTATCCTGAGTAGTTAAACCGGCAGAAATTTTTCAGATTGAATCAATAGCAAATGAGAACCTGGGAGAAGAATGGAAAATGAATGGTGGCAAATAAATCAGTAGTTATTCCATTCTAGTAATTGAAAGGAAAATGATTACAAAGGTTTAAAATATGTGTATTTGAAGACCCTCCAGCTGAGGGGAGCTGCGGGCAGTAGCCAAGGAGATGGTGGCGTGGAGCAAGTAGCAGGCCAAGTCAACCACCTGCACTATAACTGCCTGGCCAAGGGGATGTGGGGTGTGTGGGTTTACAGTATAAATACAGAATGGCTATGAAGTCAGGTCTCATGAAAGTTGATTGAGATAATTTTCATATCTTTATATCTTTTAAATGTTTACATTTGACTTGAAGTGCTATAAGAAATTTTATATACTACTAAGTGGTCCTCCTTGATTTGGGTACCTTTTAGGTATGTTCTTGCTGTTTAGCTTTGGTGAATAAAAGAGATGTGATAAGAAAAAAAACAGAGAGAGCTTCTGTCTGGAGATGTGCTAGATCTAGTAAAAACCCACATGGAGGTCTTGGAGAAATGGAAAACCAGTCATCAATCTTAAAGAGGATTAAAAAAGATGAAAGTAATGATTAAACTTTATCAGTTTAATGTAATGGCAAATAAAATTATTGTACTCAACAGATTTTTTGCAGATACTAGGTTAGAAGGATGTAAATAAGGGTGGTGAAGGTTGTCCTCAATGAAGCTTAGAACACACCTCTGCAAACTGTCTATTGTGTAATTAATTGTGCACCAGGCACATGCTAGAAGAAAGTGTTGTGGTAGATGATGTCAGTGAGAGAGGCTTTTTATAGAGACATCTAGAAAGGTATGTAAAAACGAAAAGTACTAGTCCATGTAAATGGAATGGGGTAGCATTCTGGATTGATCAGAGCTAGATTAAAGGCAGAGCTACATGTAAAGGCTGAGTGATCATCTTCTCAAGGGCTTACTCTGAATGTAGAGTTGGATGCCTGAAGTTCCTGTTAGCCAGGATGAAACATGACAAGACAATAGTAGTGCACTTGTGATTGAAGCGCATGGTGATCATGGTTTTGAGTTCCTGGCAGCTCTGATATAATGTATGGTAGATTCAATTGGAAACACAATTTCACTGGTATACTGAAAAATTTTCCAAAGAGAAATGGACAGGAGGAGAGGTAATTGGACTCTGCCACTCAGGACACCAACAGTAGATAGAGTTTATTTTCAAGAAACTGCTAGAATGGTTATTTGGAAAGGAGAAAACTTAGAAATTTCCTTTCAGAGCCTCTACCCAAAATGCAACCAACTTTGGGAGTATGATCAAATGAAATTAACCCTAAAGTGAAGGTGGGAAGAATAATCAGAACTTGGGCCAAGCCAAAGACGAGAACTGTGAAGTGTCTGCATTGAAGCCTCAGTGGCGCCACTCCCGGCAGTGACTCTGCGTCACCCTCCCAGAAATATTCTCAGACTGAAGGTACATAAAAAAGGGAACAATAAGGATTGACTGAGCCACCTCAGCAAATGTTTCTGCTCCATTCTTAGGTAGCAGAAAAGGAAAAGTGCTTGCTTTCATGTTTCATCACCTGTGAGCAAGCTTTCATGTCCAAGGAGATGAAATTACTCACTGATGAAACTGAGCACACTGATGTTTATAAGATTGAAAAGTCTTTTATTCATTATTGTAAATATTCAGACAACAGAAAATTAACAAAATAAGCCCTCTGGAGAGCTGCTCTTATGGGTTGCTTGTGCATCAGTAATTCCTGCTGAAAGTGCTGCTTAGAACTAGTGGTCAGTATATATAAGAATAAATGAAACAGAACTTGAACCAGATTCAGTGTCATAAATAGCATTTTTAAAAACAAAGATGTGTTAAATAGTGTTTAAAGGAAATTGAATCAGATCTGTGAGAAGTATAATTTGAGGGGCAAAGAGGGTACATTATTATTTCATATTCCTCCTGCATTTGTCACTTACATTCCATTTTGGTTAAATTGGCTTTCTTTTCTGATTTTTAATACTGCAGAATCTGAGTACCAATTGAAAGTAATCTTTTAACTTGACAAAGAACATCTTGATGCAATAATACTTCCTAACAAACCCAGCAACATGTTTCCCTTCTCATCCTTAAGGTTATGTTTAATGGGATTCCTTTCTTTCATTATTATCTCACTGCACTTAAGAGTATTTCTAAAAAGTTGGATCAGTGATGGTGCCTGCCAAGTTGAATGTACACCAATTTCCTGATGTCCTTTTTAATTAACACTGGGCACTCATGGATGCTTCGGGGTGGATATAAAGCAGAATTTCCTCCAGAACTGATAGGAAACATTCCAGATGCCTATATTTTTTCTACCCCACAGGCTAAGTTCTCTAGTTTCAGCTGGCCTTACACTTGAGTACACTAGGTCTTTAATCATTTAAGTTATTCTCATGCACAAAATTTTAGGTTTTTGTACTATGGTATAGCTTAGACATATTCCTTACTGTGAAAACTAGTAGCAATGTAATTTAAAGTGCTGTTTGTTTGTTTTTTTCCCAAGTGTGAGGTGCCTACTTCATGGCTACTTTTAGGACCTGATAGTAATCCCGTTGCCTTTATTCTTCTGATTAAAATGATTCTAAGTACTTCAAAAATTAAAAATGTATATAGGAAGAATGGGATTCGACTTGATTATTAACCCACTGTTGTGACTCATCCTGAAATTTCAGACACGTGCCTGTGCTCTGCAAGTTTTATCTGCCATCTTGGAAGGTTCAAAGCAGTTTCTGTCTGTTGCTGAAGACACCAGTGACCACAGAAGGGCCTTTACTCCCTTCTCTGTAATGATCGCTTCCAGCATTAGGGAGTTGCACAGATGCCTTTTGTTAGCTTTGGTGGCCGAGTCATCCTCACAGACCCTTACTCAGATAATAAAGGTAAGTGTACCGAGTTTGTGATAGCTTCCAGAGGCGGTGTCACTGTTTAAATTTTGTATGTCTTACTTTGCCCAGAAGTAACTTGATTTAAGAATATAGTTAAGTAGTAATTTTATTTAAAGATACCCTATTTTTACCTACTTGTTTGATGTCCAAATGAAGAATTTACTAAAAATACTCCTTTATTTTTAGTATTAAGTTGTATCAATGGAAATCAAGTTCTACTTCCTCCTGAAAAAGACAACAAGAGACTGATTATAAGTGTGAAGACTTTCCTTTTATAATTAAATGCTGTAAAATTTTGTCTTTGTGCTCGGGCTTAATCAAGCCTATTAATGAATTGGTCTTATATCTTTCAGTGCCTTGCAAATTTAGTATCAAATTCGCCTTATAACCGACTGAAACTCAGCCTGCTTACCAAAGTCTGGAACCAGATAAAGCCTTTTATCTGCCACAAAGGTTGGTGGTAGTTTAAAATTGATTGCTTCTTTATATTAATCAAATCTAGATTATTAGTTTAAAAAATATACAGAGCATTTTTATACCTCCAAGATATCTCTACTTATTCTCCTCAAGTTTTTTGGACAAACCCGCTATTGCTAGAATTCATTTTTGACCCTTGAATCCCCAGTGGGCACTGCTGGAAGGAAGTGAACTGGAGAATTAGCTGTAGTTAAATGCCTCTTCAGTAGTGCAGTAGCCAGAGTATCCCTTTAGAATTAGCACTAACCAAGTGTAAGGGGTTCTCCTATTGTACATAATAGTTCATATCCTTTAGGCTTAAGTAGAGGATGGATGGACAGTCAGACGGGTATCACCCCCTTTTTGGAAAGAAAAATTGGAATATAAAGCCTATTTTTTTTTTTAAGATTATCTCCTCTGAAGTTGGGTTAAATTCCAGAACCTCAGATCCCCACTAACTACAGAGTCTTATATCTTGTTATTTCCTGATTTATTCCCAGATGTAATATATGTATGTGCTATAAACACTTGCCTTTAGAACATTTGTTTGTAAGCTTTAGGATCAGATCACATTCTTGTAAGTTGAGCTTTTCAGTCAGAATTATAGAAGTTGAAGGAGGCATGGATGTTTTTGAAGATGTTGTGGGAGGAGTCCTGGGCCCAGAGTCAGGCAGAGGCCCTGTAGCCCACCCATTTCTGCCATCTCACAGTCGTGGTCCTCTTTGAACCCTCATTTCCTCTGGGAAGAATTATCCCTACCTCATAAGGTTTTTATGAGGCTTAAGTGAGGTAATGATGTATAAACCAAGTCCAGTTCACTCCTTTCACCATTTGTAAAATGAGACTGAGGAAGATAAATCTTACCTTAAGGTCTTGTCACATTAGTGGAAGAAGTAAGGTTACATCAGCCCAGGTCTCCTGGCTCAGTCCTTTGCTCATTCCACTGCAGCAGCTTTTCTCTACCTGCAAAATGAGCAGAGTAGACCATGTCTCAAAGGTCCCTTTCAAGTATCTGGCTTAATCTTCCAGCAACTGTTCATTATTAAAATGTTCAAATCCACAGAAAATTTGAAAGAAAAGTACAGTGAACACCTGTAGACCCCTACCTAGACTTACCAGTTGGTAACATTCATTGTGTTTGCTTTCTGGCTCTCCACATAGTTGAATCTTTGTATGTATGTGTATATGTGTATATATGTATATTTCTGTGTATGTATATATTTACATAGATTTTTTTCCCTTGAACCATTTGAAAGTAAATTACAGACAAGATATTTCACCCTAAATAGTTAAGCATGTATCTCCTAAGAATAAAGAACAGTCTCCTAAAAAACACTATACCGTTCTTCTACCTAAGAAAATTACATTGATTCTTTAATATCATTTACTGTCTGGTCCACATTCAAATTTGCTCATGTCTCAGAAAGTCTTCTGCAGCTTTTTAAAAAAAAAAAACCTTGTTTGTTCAAGGTTCATACATTGCATTCCATTATTGTGTCACTTTAGTCTCTTAAATCTAGAGTAGTCCCTCACCCTTTTTCGGGGAAGAGTCTTAGCCAGTTGTCACTGAGAATGTCTCACACTCTCTGTTTGTTAGACTTTTTCTTTTTGGCATTAACTGATATTTCTGTCCCATGTATTTTCTATAAACTGGAAGTTAGATCTAGAGGTTTAATTAGATACAAGTTAAACAGGGATGCTATAATCCTTAACTGCCTACAGGGCTAGTTCTGAGCCTCGTGATAGCTGTCCCCATGGTGATGGGCACTTCCTGTTTACTTTGACAGATGTTAATGTTCGAGTGTCAAGTCTCACTCTCTTGGGAGCCATAGTGTCCACTCACGCACCTTTACCTGAAGTCCAGCTACTTTTACAGCAGCCCTGTTCTTCTGGACTCAGCAATAGCAATTCAGCGACTCCTCACCTCAGCCCTGCTGATTGGTGGAAGAAAGCCCCCTCAGGACTCTTTCTGGAAGAAACACCAGTTAGCTCCCCAAAGGGGTCTTCAGAGCCCTGCTGGCTCATTCGGCTTTGCATTTCCACTGTCGTGCTGCCCAGGGAGGATTCCTGTTCAGGTAGCGATGCTGGCTCTGCAGCAGGCAGCACCTATGAACCATCCCCCATGCGACTGGAGGCCTTACAGGTAGGAGTTCACTTCCTCATCTCTGAAACAGCAGTAATCATTCTTCCTTCACAGGGTGATTGTGAGGAGTGAGTCCATGGAAATAATGTAAACCGAGCTGCAGGTCAGTGATGTCACTGGCAGTTGTATTTTGGGTGTGAGTGTTTTGTTTGTCGTCGTTTGGCTTTGCAGGGGGTGGGGGGCTTGGTTGTAAAATGTCAGATTCATTCCTTTTGTTGCAAGTTATTTTAGTCACCTCTGTTATGTGACAGGTTGGTATATTAGTATATATAATAATTCTGAAAGGAATTGTATAATCTTTGATTTCTGCAACTTAAAGTTAAATATTTTATTCTCTGTAAACTTCTCTCTGGTCTTAGATCTGCTTAGAGACAACAAAATAATTGCTCCCTCAAAGGAAGAAAACAACCCTAAAGTATTTGCTATTTCTGTACTCAGATGTGATCTAAGGCATGGGTTTGGTTCTGGGGTCTGCTGCCAGTTGTATGGTTAATATTAAACAAGTCCTTTAACCACTTTAAGTTATTTGACCTTAGTTTTTTCAGCTGAAATAGTATTACCTTAAAAAAATTGTTCCCAGGCCCAAATAAGATAATATTCATAATCTTAACACATTTCATAAACTGTAAAGCACTGTAAAATTGTATAGCTAACTGATGTTAGTCATAAGATTAAGATTATGGTTGTTCTTCATTTCATTCAACATCAGATGTCAGCCCTTGTAAAGTGTGAGCATTAAAACACTGCTGGATATCGCAGCACTGCTTCCAGGCTTTGGGGTTAATCCTCTCCTCTCCCTACAGGTGTTGGCTCATCTGGCACGGGGCTACTTTTCCATGGCTCAGGTGTACTTGATGGAGCTTGGAGACTTGATTTGCAAGTGCATGGGGGAAGCAGATCCATCCATTCAGCTTCATGGAGCAAAGGTCATTTTCATTAAAAGCTACCTGCTTTTATCTCCTCTCCCTTTATATTCTTCCATATGCTGCATGTCCTTCAATTCCAGCATTTCTTGAAGAAGTTTCAGGTAGGGAGGTCATATATTTCTCTTTTTTCAGTTCTACCCATAAACCCAAATAATTGATTTGGTAATAAATAAACAATATGTAGTTGATTCTACTCCTGGAAATAATGCTTCTGACATAGGAATTACTGAGAAAAGAAAGAAAATCAGTTGGAAATGATTTTTCCCCTTGAGTTGAATTAATATCGAAACTGAAGAAGTTTTTTTAACCTCCATAATTCTGAAACTCTGATCATGTATTTCTTTTATCTTGGCAGCTTCTGGAAGAACTGGGTACAGGCTTAATACAACAGTACAAATCAGATTCTACCATAGCACCTGATCAGCGAGTGCCAGTCACCTTGGTAAGTAAATGTCAGTTCATAGTTTTTTTTTTCCTTAGTGCTTCAGTCAGTTTTATTTTGAGGTTTAGTGATAAAGGGGAAAGACAGTATGATTTCTTCCATTGTCAAAAAGTGTGGTGTCTAATCCCTGATGACTTGATACTAGCATGAGTTGGTTTTATTTGCAGTTCAGTATCTAGTAGGATTACATATAACATACAGTCAACAGTGGAAAAAAACAGTATTTCTTTTGTATAAAACCTAGTCTGGTTGCTCACCCTTCTGGTGAGGCAGAGTAGAATGGTGGGAAGAGCCAAGGATTTGTAATCAAAAGACATGAGATCAGATTTAGGGAGCACCACTTAATCAATACATGAGCATAGTTTCGTCACAGTAAAGAGGAATAATGATCCTTAACTTGGAGTGCTTTTGGAAGACTGAATGAAATGTAAATATGCCTGCAAGCAGTAGATGCTTGATGAATGTTCATTCCCCTGACTCCCTCACTCCCCTCCCCATGCATCCCATTACATTCCTGCCGTCTTAGGGTGTTCCTGCTGTTCCCATGCCATGCCAGTGCTTTGCAGGAGGAACATACAACCCCACCAAAAGGAGCTTCTGCTTGGAGTCAAAAGCAAAAATCAGTTCGCCATTAGTGATAGCTTCTCCCTTCATCCTGCCTATTATTTTCCCTTCACAATTTCCATCATCTGTGCAGTGAATGGAGAATGTATAGCTCTGTTCCCTTCCTGAGACGGCCAGTAAAACTGAAATGTCACTGTTCGCGGGGAGATGAGCTTTACTGTCAGACAGACCTGGGTTTGCATACAACCTTCTCCCCTTGCTAGTCAGGTGACTTTGGGCAAGACTCTTAACTGTTCACACTCAGGTATTGTTTCATCTGTTAAAAATGAAGAGATATATTTTCTGTATATCTCTTGTTTATTGCTGAGAAATAAATTACCCTAAACACTTAGCAGCTTAAAACAACACACATGGGGGGCAGAACCAACATGGCGGTGTGAGTAGGACAGTGGGAATCTCCTCCCAAAAACATATATATTTTTGAAAATAAAACAAATACAACTAATCCTAAAAGAGAGACCAGAAGACACAGGACAACAGCCAGACTACATCCACACGTGCGAGAGCCCAGCGCCTGGTGAAAGGGGTAAGATACAAGCCCTGGCCCGGCGGGACCCGAGCGCCCCTCACCCCAGCTCCTGGCGGGAGGAGAGGAGTTGGAGCAGGGAGGGAGAGGGAGCCCAGGACTGCTAAACACCCAGCCCTAGCCATCCACACCAGAGCGCAGACACAGTGCATGTGTGGAGGGCTGGAAACTAGGGAAACAGGGCAGCAAGACCTCTGAGCGGGTTCCAAAGCTGATGCCCCTGTGACAGAGAAAAGCGAGTGCTTTATGAAAGTCTTAAAGGGACAGGGACGCAACAGCTGGACGCAAACAACACAGGTCACAGTCCAGCAGCTGGAAATTACAGGGAAAACTGGGTGCACTAACCCCCTGGGCAACAGCTCTGAGACCCCTCATGGAGGTAAACAGCCAAACAGCCCCCGTCCATTACCCCTCCGGGTGTGGCGAAAGCAGAGGAGCAGCCCAAGGCTGGCCACACCCTCAGCAAGGGAGCTTCCTCAATACTGGCCCGGCAAGACACAAAGACCCAGTCTACACGCAATTACCCAACACGAGCCACTAGGGGTCGCAGTTGTCCCAGTAAAGAAAGGCCAGTAGCAAGTGGAAAGTTTGGCCCTCCCAGCTGACAGTCAATAGCACCTATCAACAAGAAAAGGCAAAAAAATATGATCCAGACAAGACTAACCCAGACAGCTTCGGCATCTGCTACATCTTCGCCTGAGAAGGAACCTGGGGAGATAGATTTAACCAATCATCCTGAAAAAGAATTCAAAACAAAAGTTATAACCATCCTGATGGACTTGCAGAGAAATATGCAGGAACTAAGGAAGGAGAATACAGAAATAAAACAAGCAGAGAAAGGACTTCAAAACAGAATGGACGAGATGCAAGAGATCATTAATGGACTAGAAAACAGAGAACAGGAATGCAGAGAAGCTGATGCAGAGAGAGAGAAAAGGATCTCCAGGAATGAAAGAATTCTAAGAGAGCTGAGTGATCAATCGAAACAGAACAATATCCGCATTATAGGGGTACCAGAAGAAGAGAGAGGAAAAGGGATAGAAACTGTCTTTGAAGAAATAATTGCTGAAAACTTCCCCAAACTAGGGGAGGAAATGGCCTCTCAGACCACAGAGGTACACAGAACTCCCATGACAAGGGATCCAAGGAGGGCGACACCAAGACACATAATAATTAAAATGGCAAAGATCAAAGACAAGGACAAAGTATTAAAGGCATCCAGAGAGAAAAAAAGGTTACCTACAAAGGAAAACCCATCAGGCTATTATCATCAGACTTCTCAAAAGAAACCCTATAGGCCAAAAAAGAATGGCACGATATACTTAATGCAATGAAACAGAAGG